TTGGAAATGAACGAACGATCTTCAATACATGCTAGGAAAACTACGCTATCGCTTGGCTAATAAGCCAAGGGAAACTAAGAAAGCTAAGAAGAAAGCTTAAAAGAAATAAAATGCTTGTTGTTGATTGATTTGCTGATATCCTCCCTACGGTCTTCATGCCTCTATTTGTAGACAAATTAGAGCGGTTATGGCTAACTCCCATAACTGTTTTGCAGTTATGCTTCTTGGCGCTAACTCTTCTTGATATTGAATTGTCTACTTTGCCTCCAAAACTGGTTCTTTTTCCATATTGGGCCTTTAACTAGTTCCAGCCCATTTCCACTTATTCTCATTGACTGACCCAAAACCTTTTACTGACTCTAAGGTTCAATTTACTCGGATAATTGGGTCAAAATCAAGAAAAGCCAAAAACCTGATTTTAACTGGGTGTAATTACAAGCCCTGACAAGGGTCCCTCCCTATCCTTTTTTCTCCTTATTCTTCTTGTTAAAGCTTTTTTCAAGCAAATCTCATAAAGTTTTTATCACAGACAACCCCTTTTTAAATTAGAGATGTAATATTTAGATTAACAATCTCAAGGGAATTCATTTTCTATTATTCTCTTGCTGATTAATACGCTAAAAGTCCTTCATTTTCAAATAAATGTTAAGTCCTTCAATGCATTAATTACAGCAAAAACTTAGTCCTTTACTTTAAAAAAAGTATAATAACTGTCAAACGTAAATGGTTGGGAACAACTAAAAAAAACTAGCAAAAATCTACAATCATCAATGGCAACCATGTTTTCTCCTTCGGAAAAAATATCTACAATCAGCAAAAATCGAATTTTAAACCACCCATTACACTACTCCCTGTTTCACACAATTTTAATACAAATCTAGGGTCTATGTTCATAATTCCCTTTCATTTTCTACAAAAATCATTATTCAATCTAACACAATATAACATATACAATACAAACATTTTTCACGAACATCAATAATAATTTCGTCAAAAAAATTACTTAGTTGATCATAATCATTATCAATAAAACCCTAAACCATAACTTAACATGTAATTGCCAATAAATTAAGTAGTCTTTCAAAAACTTCAGAACGCTCTTTTAAAGCCCAAGATATGTTTCTATAATTCTAAAATGTTCCCTTAAAACTTCAATATCAGTTTTAGAAATCCTAATATCGCTTTTAAAGGCCCAACATTGCTTAGCATTGCCCAAAACTAACTTAAAGCCAAAAGCCACATTTCAGAGCCTAAATCTTTTCAAAAACGTTAAACGGCTTTATTTAAAGCCAATGACTCTTTTAAGCCTAGGGGTACAACTATTTGATGCTTTGAGGGCTAAGGAAACAAAACCATATGATCTCCCTATAGGAAACCAAGTTTTATCGATGAGCGTAGAGCATATGTTAGACGTAAGCCATAGCGCCACTCGCCATAACTAAAGATTATGTCAACCACATTCTTCATCCTTTCTTGTTCCCTTATTAAGCTCAACGAGACAACTTTTAATTGCTTGAGGGTAAATGAAACAAAACCATGTAGTGTATCCCAACAGGAAATCCAAGTTTTGAGATGAGCGTAAAACATAGCTAGGCATAAGCCATTGCGCAATCACCAGAATTAAATTAAAGATTCTATATGCCACCTTCCTCATCCTTTCTCGTTTTTCTTGGAAATACTAGAGACTAACACAAGTTTTGCATAAGCACATGGCCTTTGCATTATGGTGCAATTAGTGTGCCAAGTGCCAGAACTAGAATTCTATATTCCTGTTCGTACCTATAGATACTCCTTCATCTTTTAGCATTTGGAGGAGGTTGAAATTTATTTTTAGGTTCGAAAGTCTATCAAAATCTCTTTCTAGCCTTTTTAGTGAGGTTTAAACAACTTACCCCAAGCATTCTAATCCATGTCCCAAATACCATTGCTTTATCTAACACAATCTCGTTCAAGATACAAGGCTACTCGGCAATCCCTGAGGAGCTATGAGGGTCCCTCTCTATCCTTCTTTTCTTCTTAATATTCTTGTTTAATTTGACCTTTTTCCAGGCAAATCCCATGAAGCTTTGATCATAGATAAGGCCATAGATTAGCAAGTGCAAAGAGCCCTATTGCACAGGGTCCCGAAATTAAAAAAATAAATAAATTAAAAAAAAAGCCTTGAAATAAGAAAGAGCTCATTTGAAAAAAAGAGATATATATAATTTCGCGTACATATTATTTGTCATTAACAATCTAGTGCAGTTGGTAGGCTATTTTATATTTTGTGCATGTGATGGCGGTTCGAATCCCCTCATAACTTTTCTTAAAGATTTATTGGATTTTTCATTGTAATGAAGTTAGGGGCCCATTCCTTTAAATTAAATATTAGGGCTTCAAAATTAGATCAAGGCCCTCATTTTCTTAAAGACGGCCCTGATCATAGGCAACCCCTTTTTAAAGTGAGGATGTAATATTTAGATCAACAATCTCAAGGGAACTTACTCTTGATTATCCTCTTGATGATATAGTTACCTTAAAAGTTCCATTTTTATTTTTTATAAGCAATTCAATTATGTTTAATGTGTCATCACGACTCCACTTAAACTGAGAAAATCAAAACATCTTTTTGTAAGCATTACCTTTTAAAAACATATACAAAAATGAGATCCAACACTCCACTTGATATGTTTTATTCATTTAATTTTTTTATTTATTTTTTATTTTTTACTTCAAAAGAGAATTTAATGTTAAAGACTATATTTGTTTGAAAGTCATATCAAGCAACTCTATTACAAAAAATGCAATGATTAGATATTAGGGTACGGCCAAATAAATGATCATTACATGTGATCGAGAGGGTTCATGGTTGAAGCCTTTCCTTCATGATTTATCTTATTTCAAAAACCCTTTTTTCCTTCTCTTTGGTCCATGATGCATGAGAATAAACATCTTTAATTCTTTCCCTAAACTAGATCATGTCATTTTGGATCATTTAAAGCGAAGTGAGTCCGTACTTGAACCTCTTTTCACATTATATCATAACCTCGAAAGGTTTTAATATTGGAAAATTGACCATAGTTCGATTAATCATGTGAATTTTCCATATTTTTTAGTTTTGTACAAACCAAAACCTACAATTAATACCGAGTTGCCAATTGCCCCCTAGACATTTAATTTTAAAGGTTGCTCTCGAGCGAGTAAAGTATAATACAAGGACCTCACTTTTGCATTTTTTTTTTATCTTTAAGGACACGTGATTGACTCACAAGCCATTTAACTCACCTAACCTCCGGTCAAAATGTTAAGTCCTTCATTTTCAAATGCTAAGTCCTCATTTCCCAATGTTAAGTCCTTGAATGCATTAATTACAACAAAAACTTAATCCTACACTTACTGCCAAACATAAACGACTGGGAACAATTAAAAAAAGAAAAAACTAGCAAATATCGACAATCGTCAAGGGCAGTCATGTTTTTCCATCGAAAAAAAAATCCCAATTAGCCAAAATTGAATACTATGCCATCTATTACTGATTACACTACCCCTTGTTTAACACAATTTTAATACAAAGGTAGGGTATGTGTTCATAATTCCCTTTTATTTTCTACAAAAATCATTTAACTTAACACAATACATACAGTACAAACATTTTTCATGAACATCTACAACAATTTCGTAAAAAAATACAATTGATCATATCCATTATCAACAAAACCCTAAACCCTAACTTAACCCACAATTCAAAAAAAAAAAAATCACAAAAAAGTCTAATATATGAGATATGAATGTACCTTGCTAAGTTATTGTGAAACAAGTGAAAATTCCTTCGAATTAAGCTGAATTACCTTCATTTTTTTTACGCAAAATGGAGAAAGTCTTATAAAACAAGGGAGAAGAAGTTGAAAGGGCGCCAAAATTTTTAATCGAAAATGTATAAAATATAGGGGGAGTAACATATGTAGTACAATTTGCGTGCTTCCCTACGTTGACAACAAAGTAATTATGGTTTTATGTTAGCTAACCCTAGCTTAACTTAGCTTGAGTAAACTGATAATAATTACCACCGGAAAATAAATGTTAAGTCGTTAAAGGTGAAAAAAAAAGTGTGAGGTTTCGTGAAAAAAAATGTAAAAGTCAAGTTCTTGTATTATACTTAACTCCACTCAATCTTACTTTAATCTTATTGTAAACTTATTAGATTAAGCACGTGTCCATCAATAACAACGGCAATGACTTGTTTTAAGTAGAGGCACACTTGATCTGACTCAATCCGAAACCGACCCGAAAAATATCCGATTCAAATTTTAACTCACATGCACACAATAACTAAGCACGACTTAAGTTTGAAATTAGACCTGATTTGAGCTCACTGAACCTGTCCTGAACACCCAAATTGACCCTCTAGTTTTAGCAATAAATATCCAAGGGTTTTTCTATATAGTAACCCTCTAACTTTACGTTTTCTACTGTGCCCCCCTTTTTGAGAAATCCACACTATAACCACAAAATACATTTAGTTTCTATACGATAACCTTGTCGTTATCTCGCCGTTAACAAATTTCGTTAGTGGGGCCCACTCTCCACTTAATAATATTTGTTTTATCGATTTGCGTGTTGGAAATTGTTCCGTTAAAGGTTTTGGGGGCTATTTTGGGGCTTAAGGGATCAAATTGAGCTCAAATTTTGGAAAAAAACATGTAAACGCCTCATTTTGCATATTAAGAAATGTCTCGATTTGCATGTTTACGTATTTAATTTGCAAAATGAGGCATTTACGTTATTTTTTTTCAAATCTGAGCTCAATTTGCATTCTTAAAGACCAAAATAGTCCCCAAAACCTTTAACAGAACAATTTCCAACACGCAAATCGATAAAAAAAATATTATAAATCGGAGAGTGGGCCCCACTAACGAAATTTGTTAACGGCGGGATAACAAGGTTACAATATACAAACTAAATGTATTTTGGGGTTGTAGTGTGAATTTCTCAAAAAGGGGAGCACATTATAGAAAACGAAAAGTTAAAGGGTTATAATGTAAAAAAACCTAATATCCAATATTAGATTAGACAGCAGACAAAGTATTGCCCAAAAAAAAAACAGGAGGTTTCGAAATCAAAAAATTAAAAGCACAATTCTCGGAGATAGAGATGTCTTTTCCAAGCGAGAGTCTCATTTGGGTTGGTACTTCAAGCTGACTTCCACCTGCCGTGTGAAGACTTTTAAACACTCTCTCTTTCTCATTCTCTCTCTCTCTCTCTCTCTCTTTCTTTCTTTGTTTCTTTCTTTCTCGTGTTTTTTCTAAATTACGAAGATCGCTTGTCATCTCCTCTGATTTTTCTGCGCTCTTTCCTTTTCTCATGGATAGTCTTTCAACTTGCTCTATTCTTTGGATATGATCCTTTCTTTCCTAAATTAATCCCTCTTTTACTCCCACAAACTTAGCACAAAGGTAAAATTTGAGCTCATTTTTCTGGGTCTTTTTTGTTTTTTTAATTTTCTGGGTTTGATTTTGTTGGTGTATTAATATGATCACTTTTTTTTTTGGGTTGGGTTGCTTTTTTTAAGTTGCTTTCTGGGTAATTAAGGGGTTTGATCACTTTATATCATGTTGCTCTTGGTGGTTTAAATTCTGGTTTATAATTCTATTTTAGGCAATAAATGCTTGTTTGTATGTTTCCCTTTATATGTAAGTTTTGTTTGCATTTGGATTGTAAGTTGTTTGGTTATTTTTAGAATTTATAGTTTGTTTGATGAAAAATTCAAAATTCAATTCAGAAGTTCTATGTTGTTGGTAAGTGAGTTTTGATTTTGGGGGTATTTTAGATAATTGCTTGTAAGATGTTCGATATCGAAAAGCGGGGAAGGATATGTGATCCTGGAGATCCAGGGATCATTGCCAGTTGTGTTTATGATGGATTTCATTCGAGTGTATGGTCTAGCAAACTTGACATGTTCAATAAAAGTAACAACCAATTTGAGTAATGTTTCCTACTATGGATAGGGGCTTGTTTGACCTCCAATCTTAATGAATGTGATTAATTTTTTTCACCTGCTTATATATAGTTCAAGCTCGGATGAGAATAAATGAAGTTTCGGTTGTTAGTAATTTGAGTTTGTCACAAAATGGAGAATAAAAGAAAAGAAACCTTCCTATAAACCTATTGGTTAAGTAAATTGTCTGTATTTGTTTTTTTTTTATACATCCTACCTTGGTTGGAGGTGCCGTCTTCTCCACAGATGTGTTCCCCCATAGAAATTTTATTGAAATGCATCGTTCCTTGGTAGCAAAGACAGAACATTGAGGAAGTAAAAACAAGTATAAATCCCCTTACAAAGTGTGAATTGTATTACCTATACCATGTTTTAATGGCATTTTCTAGCAAGTTGCAATTCTCTTGCTCCTTGGTGTATGTAATAGTTGCATTTAGGTTTTTAATATTGTATCTTCAGCTAATCAGTTCTTAGGTAATTGCCAATGCTGGACCTTAATCTTTCTGGATTAGTATGCCTTTGGTAATCAATGACTGTTCTTATCACATTTTTTAGTTTGATTCTCTTTCTATATATACCTGAATCATGTTCTCCAGTTTATCAATCTAACCTGCTCTTTCCCTTGTATTTCTCTTATGTAGTATTTGCACAACATTTTACTTAATAAGAAGCCATGGGGTGTTTTCCCTTCTCTGAAGTAGCCAAGAAAGGGGAGCCAAAGGCAATGAAGGTCGTATCTAATTTGTCTTCAAATTCGGCTCTTGGTGATGAAGAAGTAAATAGATCAGGCTCCGAATTCAATTCACAAAATGTATCTGATACAAGCACAGATTCCATCAGGAAAAACTCGTTTTTTAGCATGTCTCAGAGATCAACATCCAATCTAAGAGTCTTCAAATTTCAAGAGCTAAAGTCTGCCACCAAAGGTTTCAGTCGATCTGTTAGAATTGGAGAGGGAGGATTTGGATGTGTCTATAAGGGTATGATTAAGAGTGTAGAGGATTCGTCTGTGAAGGTAGATGTTGCTGTGAAACAGCTAGGAAAAAGAGGTCTGCAGGCAAGTAATTTATTTCAACACTCTTTTCTCTTGATCATCATTTTTCTTGCTTCTAAGAACATATATGAATTCTCCCCGATGATAAACTTTCTAAGTCTGGGACCAAGATCATCTAGTTTTAAGTGGTTTGACTTAGTCTAAACATTACCAATTCTGAATATAGTGTTCTGCAAAGTTGTAGTGAGCACTAGCTTTTAAAGTTTTGTAGTGTTTTGAAAAATTTACCCAAAAACTACCAAAATTAGCTTTTAGTCTAGTATTTAACTTTTGTTGTTTTTATTCTACCACTCCAACTAGTTGTGCTGAACATAGGCCAACCTTTAACAATAACATATAAGTATCTAACCATTAACCATTAGTTGAAAGTTGACCTACTATAAAGTCATACATAATAGAACTACTATAGCTGCTACTCTTTCTAAATAGTATCTTTTGTATCCCAGATGTCTCTTAGAATTCTTACAAATGTGCTAAAGTAAGGGTTATAACAATTTTTCTTTTGTGTTGTGGGGGTGGGTTGTGAGGGAGGGGGAGGAATCCTTTTCATGAATAACATACCTTGTAGTGACACCATAAACGACATATATCGCTCACCAATTCTTGGTTCCTGATATGATTTTGATAATTAGTGTGCAACTGCTCATTACTGATGTGGTGAAATGGATATACTCTTGCGAAACTAAAATTCAAGTTTTATCTCAGAGTCAAAGTTTCCGTTTTATAATTGCACTAAACCTTAATGAATGAGATGAGTTATCTCACTAAACCTTTGAATCTGAGTTGTTAGGTTGCTTAAATTCATCGAAAGATAAAACTTTGACTGAATTATAATTAAAAAAACAAATCATGCAAAGATCTCAATATGGTCAATAACCTCAAAAGGAAATTCATAAGGCTTGTGAGGACTAACTTAACAAGAATTAATGAATAACACAAGAATATGAAGTATGGAATATAAAGGAAGAAAGGACCATGACAAATTTATTAAGAGGAAATGTGTTATACAACCTGTATCGTGAGCTTACATAAACTGCATACTATAAGTATATGTCAACCCATGCATATAATTTATACTTCTTGTTACACTCAATGTTACCTTGGGCCAACACTTTGTAAACCATCAGTTGATGTCTGATATGATGTGCTTTAACATTGGATCTAACATTATTCAGCATTACTGTCTTGAAAGCTGTTTTTTTTTTTTTGTTTTTTGTTTTTGGTAATAGAAAATTTTATTACCAAAAGAGGAGATTACAACTTACAAAAGCTAAGTTGAAATCAAACAAACACCACAGATCCCAAAGGACCAAACAAACACCCCTAAACACCAAAGGCTACAAAGAACCAAAACACAGGGAAAGGGAAACTTAGGGCACCTTCTAGGAAGAGTTCCCAAGAGACCCTAACCCAAAAACCAGAAAGTCTAAATTCCCTTTAGTGCCACCTTCTAGGAAGGGTTCACCCAAGGGAAAAGAGACAAACAGAAAATACAAAAACACTAGCAGAACAGCTGGGAAAAAAAACCAGAACCAGCAAACTACAAGATAAGCATCTGCCTATCAGTCTCAGGACACCTACAAGCTACGCAGAACAGAATGTCTCGAAAAATAGCTTCTGCAGGTTTTAATTCTCCTGTAAAGATCAGGGAATTCCTCTGCAACCATATATTGTAGACAGCCTCAGCAAAACACATTCCCAGCAGTCTGTTTCTGGCTCTAGACTTCCTACAGATCTTCAATATCCAGTGCATTTCATTCTCAAATTGACCAGAAGATCTCTGATAACCAAATAACTGAAGAACTCTCACCCACACTTTTTTACTGTAATCACACTCAAAAAACAGATGCTGGGTAGTCTCCAGGGCCTGATTACAAAGAAAACAAGTAGGATCACAATGAATGTTCCATTTTTGCAGTCTATCTTTAGTTACAAGCCTGTTCTTGGCTGCAAGCCAAGTAATGAAAAGGCTCTTTGGGGAAGCAAGATTATTACAAATAAGTCTTCTCCAAGAAACCTTTGGGAACAGAAACAGTATTGGCTTGAAAAGTCTTCTTAATCTTAACCCTTCCACCCTGTATCACATTGTTCCAGCTGCCAATAGTATCCACTATAGTTCTACATTTCAGTAATGTCTTGAAAGCTGGTTGATTGTTACTTTATTAAGCATAAGGTATTCCCCGAGCTTGGATATTAGAAACTTAATGACAACTACAACTGCAATTTTTCCAAAACTTTCAAGACCTTACTTTTATAGAAATGGTAGTCAATCTCAATGTTTTTATTTGCGCAGGAAAGAATTCTGCTTGTGTATAGCTGAATCAGCAGATTGGTAGAATGGTAGATCACTAAACATTTTAAAGATTTCAATAAATCATTATTAGATGAAATGAGTGAAATTACTTTTGATGCACCAAGATCAGATACAATTTGGAATTGTTATGCTACTCTCTTGCATCTTTTTTTTTAGCCAATCATAAGGTAAGCCTGACCTTAAGCTAGTATTGACCACGTCATCATATCTCCCATAACAGTACACTTCTTCAAACTGGTAAGAGGCTGTGTTGGATATTGATTTTGCAGTGATGAGTTACGGTGTTACATTTAAGCTACATGTGCAATCTGTAACGCATGCAAGAGCATTATCTGTACCTACAGCCTTCTAATCGTTGTAAAATAAGCAAAAAAAATTTTTTATAAAAAAAAGCATACCTTTGGGAAATATAACATTGTTAACATAATGCCTTTAGAATTAGTTCCTTAAAGTGTGCATCTGTCCCAAACTTTATGATAGTTTGAGCCAAGTCTCAGCTGATTTCTGCAATATCCCTCTGTACACAAACAATAAGCCATGAAACTATCATATCTTGATATCCTTGGACTTTTATCATGACCCAACTTAATTTAATTCAAATTTTAAAAAAAAAAAAATCATAAAGTTTAATTATATCATGGATCAAGATGATGGAATTTGCATTGTATAATTGCCATTTCTGAAAGGGTTTGACCTTGCTCTTGGTTAAATTAACAGAGAATGATATATTTTGACAATGAGAAAACAGAACAAAAGAATTCAGTCAGATGGTAATGGCTAAATGCGAATTTAAGCATATATTAAGGAATTGATAAAGAAACTGATCAAAGAGTTAGAGTTGGTTCCCTCTGTGTTACCATGTTGTAGCTCAGGGAAAGTACTGTATTGACAAAGGTTGGTCGAAGCAAGAGTGATTGTGAGAACATACTGAAAGGAAAAGACGGCATAGAGATTACTTTGGAGAGGAATAATGTGTAATCTGGTATGAAGAGCTAAGCACATACTTTGTTGAGCAATATCATCAATATCAACCCTGCAGCGGAATTAACAATCTGCTATGCTGAGCTAACGTCATACTTTGGTGAACTAGCATCCTGATATGTAATCCTGCTGAGTGCTCACAAATATCCCATGCAGCAGTTAAAATTGTCATAGAAACAGTTTTTAAGTCCTTCAGGGAGCAGTGAAATTGGTGAAGAGTTCTAAATTTGTCCTGGCATTAAGATTAGGCTGTTGCTATATAGTTTGTGTCCAGGTGTCAGGTGATTCTATGGTTTCCTTAGATGAAGATTAATCTTCTTATAGAAGATATTAGATAGCCTTAAGCAGTATGATATCCACAAGTATGATTCTATGGTTTCCTTAAATGAAGATTAGTCTCTTGCAGTCCGAATCATCTACATTTCTTCTTTGTTCTTCTTTACTTCATGTTTACATCTATCCTTTGATTGTGTTTGGAAGCCATTTGTGAGGCTTTAACCTTGGCAATCTGAAGCCTTATAAATTTTCTCGAAATGAAGTTCTTATGTTCATGCTATAGTTTATTATTAGTAGTTTGTTTGGGATGCGTTATGACTTTAACTCTGATGATGATTGGGATTTTTGTCAATAGTTGAAACAGCCCTTTTAAAAAAGAGAAACAATAATGCTTGCAGCAAGAATTGCATAAACCCTATGGATATTTGAGTAAACAGAAGAGCCTCCAGGTAGTGTGATTATATGGACATGTTCAGTGACATGGTGAATTTAATTTTTTTGTACGCATTGAGATCCATATTGAAGTACTGCATGATTGGCCAAGTTATTTTTTGAAGACTATGACGAGAACTTGCCTTTGTCAGAAAAATGCACGATTATATTATTTTTATGCCATCAAAATGTAATACACCGTACATAGATGATTTACAAATATTTGACGAAGATCATAGACATAAAACAGCTGCTCATTTTGTGTTATGTTTGTCTTACAGGGCCATAAAGAATGGGTTACAGAAGTTAGTGTTCTAGGAGTAGTGGAGCATCCTAACCTCGTCAAATTGTTGGGTTATTGTGCCGACGATGACGAAAGAGGCATTCAGCGACTTCTGATATATGAATACATGCCTAATGGAAGTGTCGAAGATCATTTATCTTCTAGGTCTAGGACACTTCTCCCATGGGCTATGAGACTGAGAATAGCCAGGGATGCGGCTCGTGGTTTAACCTACCTTCATGAAGAGATGGATTTTCAGGTAAATGAATATTCCAAATCCACATTTATTAGTAATCAAAGTAGTGTCTTTTCACTTTAACTTTTCTTAAATCAAAATATTTGCTATCCTAGAATTGTTATTTGCTTGGCCCTTAATTTAGCTGTATATGACAAAATTTCTCCATCGTTTACTTTTCTAGTATTGTTGTATATCATATATGGAGTATGTAGATATGAAGCCAATGTTGCTTTCTTAAATCAATCTTCTTTACCTTCATTTTCTCTAATCAGTTTTCTGCTAACAGATTATCTTTAGAGACTTTAAATCCTCAAATATACTATTGGATGAGCAATGGAATGCAAAATTGTCTGATTTTGGGCTTGCCAGGTTGGGCCCTCCCGATGGGCTGACCCACGTCTCAACTGCGGTATGTTACTGATTCTTTCGTTTGTTAGCTACTCAAGTCTTGACCTTTCTGAATTTTATGATACAAAATTGCACATTTCAATGCATTGTATGACACCCGTATGCAACAGGATTCTTAGGAATTAGGATCCCTCCTAATCAGCTTCTTTCTAAATACTAAATTTTAGCATGTAATCTGAATCATTACACCATTTTTTCTTGTTAATCCATTCGATCATCCCAGTTAGAATATCAGATTCTCTGAAGCAATACTTTTTCTTACAAAAAAAAAATGATGGTGTTCACAATGGTTTTTCAAACTACTCAAACCATTTCTGTATGTATCTGACCCGAATTTCAAGGGTGTTTTTAGAAAATGATTAAAAACGACATATTTCAACAGGGTGGGAGTATCGGTATTCTTATAAATTCTATCTGATTTAAATCACATTTGAAGGGCTAGAATCCAAAGTATGTGCTTTTAAATTGTTTTTGTTTGACAGACTTTACTGCCACTTCCAGTCATGTTTAAGGGCTTGTTTGATTAAACTAAAGGTTTAATTTGGTTTGGAATATAAAAAGGGAATTTTTTTTTTTTTTTTTTGACAAGATGGTTCATATAATTTTTATTGATTCTATAAGCATAGAAAAAGAGCTATTTAAGTGTCTCAGACACACGCTTAAGGTAGTTTAAAAAGGGTTCAACATTAAATTAAATGCGATCACTAAATATTAAAGAATTGAATTGGAATGTTTAGATTTGAATGATTTATGTTATTGATTGTGTTGTGGATTGAGAATCATCACAAAGTCTATAATCTGTAAACAATGTAAAGTGGTGGTAATGGTAAAGACCTTATATGTGAATTTGCAAGGACATGCTAACGTCCTTGGTAATGCAACTTTATTCCCATGCATGTGTTTTTCATTATTATTTTACTCCCTCTATTTTTAAATACTTGCTCCACTTCATTTTCGGCCGTTTTTAAATACTTGCTCCATTTCCTTATTTGGAAAGCTTTTACAATATTTAATTAATTTCTCTCAACTAGTGGACCAACGTAAATTATATTTTATTAATTTCATATTTTCTCTCCTCCAATTCTCTTAACTACTTTTGCTTTTTACAATTTTTAATTTTTCTACCTACCCTACTACCTCCATATTTTATTACTTTATCTAATTTCTCGTAAAACTCCACGCATGGAGAAATGGAGCAAGTATTTAAAAATGGAGGGAGTATTGCAAATCATGACTGTTTTAGAGGTGATATTGAGTGTTAATGGGAATTAATGAATACTTAAAGGTGAAAAATATTACTATAAGGGCATGCCTGGATCCCTAGTAATAGGGGAATAAAAAGTTACCGTAGGAAAAAATAAGACATTTTTGAAATGCCTGGATTGGAGATAGAATTGTAAAGGGATAATATATTCCCCTCAAAATAGGGGCAATAGTTACCCTAACCCCCACTAGCGTAACTTTTCCCGTCTAAAATATTATCCAGCTCCCTTCTCCTACCTCATGTCATTCCATGATTCCTTCTCATTCCTCCCTGCCTTGCTCTTCCTCCACCACTACCCCTGACATGATGCCAAGCTTGTAGAATTGAAATAATTATCCCCTTAATTGATCGACCAGTAAAATACAACCCATAAAAATTACCCCCTTATTTAAGAGAATCCAGGCAAGTCATAAAGGTTATTGAGTGGTAATGGATAATTGGGAATTAATGAATACTTGAAGGTGAAAAGTATTACCATAGAGAGTGTTTTGAAACATTCCTTACAAAGAAATGTATAACTTCCTTACCAATAGCTCCATATATTACCAGCTACCAGACAGGCTGTTAGACTTATGTGGCTGTACACCTCAAGGCATTTCAAACAAGTATGTCTAGATCTATTCGCTGTATGTTTCAACTTTCTAGATTTCTTCTCATTCTTCCTTGCTGCTAGACTTTTCACCCTCATAGAAAAAGCAAAGAAAGAAAATATACTTAAAAGATGGATACTCTCTCCATTCCAAAGACATAGTCAAACTTGACACACATGCCAATGCATTTGTTTGATCATTAATATATGTAATTAAATTTTAGCGAAAACTATGAAAAAGATATTATTATGAAACTTCACATTAATACCTATTAAAAACATTTTACATGATAACAATTGTTTTACATACATTGCTAAAAAGCTATAGTCAAAGTTTATGTATGAATAGTGAAAAAAGTCAAACTGTGTGTCAATTATTCTGGAAGGGAAGGAGTGCTCAAAAGGGACTGCTAGTTATTGAAAATAGTAGCCTAATGAGTATAGGTTTTGGGCCAACGTGAAAGGGATTCTGGATATACCCATTTTATTGTCGAGGGCCAAAATGTTGGCCCAATTTTTTACGAAATAGAAAGAGAAAATAGGCAATATAAAATTAATTTAATTTATTGTTTAGAATTTTTCATGTACTCACTTTTATCTTTCTCCATCTTTTTTTCTTGCTTATTTTTTAGCCCGCAATCCGCATTGACCCAACCTGCGTTGGGTCAATAAAATGTGACCCTCTTTTGACCCTTCCCTATCAAACTGCACCGACGCTAACCTAACCCACTCAATAACTAGGTTCACATGTCAAGATTCATTTTCCCATACATTTTAAGGTTTTTTTTTTTTTTCTTTTTTAAACTCAGTCTCCAGCATTGCAATGAAATCATACTGCAACTTATTTTTCTGAAGTAGTTTGAACTGGTGAGTATTTTTTCTGAACTTAAAGTATATTAGAACTTAATTTTCTGGTGTAGCTCTTATTTTTCCTAAAGTGAACTTATTTGAACTTATCTTCCTTTAACTTGGGTAGTCCTTATATTTCCTATAGTGAAGATACATGAGCTAACTTATCTGGACATATTTTCTTGAAAAAAGTGGAAATAAGGTGGGGAGAACAAGGCATATGCCTCTATATTAAATATGGACTGTTCTTTACATGAAATCTGATCACATGTTCATTGATTGCCTCCAGTAATCCTTTTAGAGGATGATCTTTTAGTTAGAATTTAGAATGATGACCAAAAGTTTGATGTAGTGATGTCTCATATTGGACTGTCCAAAGACCATTTCAGAATACTTTAGCTGTAGGGCAACTAATGGAGTATTGTATGGTGTCATTCTAGCTGTTAAGTCATTCTTAAATGACCTACTGACCTGTTTTTGACAAATTCTTTGTCTGATTATTGTTTTTGTCAGATTGTAGGAACACTGGGATACGCTGCTCCTGAATACATCCGAACAGGACGCCTAACATGCAAGAATGATGTTTGGAGTTATGGGGTTTTCCTTTATGAACTTATCACAGGACGGCGTCCTATAGACAAAAACCGCCCTAAGAGTGAGCAAAGACTTATAGATTGGGTGAGACCATACCTTTCAGACTTGAAAAAGTTTGAGCTGATTGTGGACCCAAGGCTGGGTAGAAACTATCCTCTCAAATCCATACATAAGCTTTCAGTAGTTGCAAACAGATGCCTAGTTCGACAACCAAAATCACGCCCTAAGATGAGTGATGTCCTAGAAATGGTGAATCATATTGTAGGGGCATCAGCTGAGTTGGCGGTTCCCCTACCAATCATGAATCCAGACACAGATGAAGCATCCAAAGATAACCGTGAGCAAAGAACTACCGGCTCAAAATGTAATGACGATTGTTGGCTTGCTCGTTTGTGGAGACATGCCTTTAGGAAGGCATTTTGATCACATTAGTATTAACCATTGCTAAGAACTTATTCTTGTGTAAACTTACACGTCAGAGACACAGATAACTTTTCCAATTGGCAGTACCTTCCCTAACCTGTGTCTTCTGAATAGCATAAAACCAGCGAGAATCACCATTTTGAGGAATCATTTGTGCATTGGAAAGCAATTGTGTATATTGGAAGTGATAGTAATTATTGTTTGTATTGTATTTTGAGGAACTAAAGATTCATTGATGAGTGTAAATTGTAAATTGGTTGTAATATTGGGGACGGTGATGGATTTCCTCCCTTTTGTAGTTTGAAGAGCTAATTAGGTGCGGCAACAAGGTAGCAGTTTTGGGAGGTTTTTAGCAAGTGCTACTACTTTTGTACGCTTGTACGTTACAAATTTGTGTAATATAATTGAGAAATTTATTGTTACTGTACCTTTCTTCTAAGTCTTAATTCAAACATCTATATCTATAATATTATTAAAACACAATGGGACAACATGTAATCGCCATGTGTCACAATTCCCTCGATATGATTTGGCGCCAAATCATCGTTATGTGTCACCCTTACGTATCACCATATGTGTCATCACTCTAAAACTCTTCATATGTGTAACCTTCATACTTAATTTTCCCCATAATAATATAACCTATAAGTATATGCACAATAAATTACAATTTAATTTATAATCGAAATTAATCACATACTAATGGTTGTTGATTCCTTGGATGCTAATTTTCTAAATTCAATATCAGCTTAGCAATTAGACAATAACATTTACAAGTATATTACTGCATCTCTCTTTCTATTCCCATGTAATTTTTTTCCATTTTTAAATTTTAATTTTAAACTTAACGCAATGTTTTCAAAATGCTATTTAAATTTAAGGTAATTTTTCATTTTGTTTTTAACCAAATTTTGGGACATCACCCGAGCCACAAATTAGTTGTTTCTATCGTTTTGGAGAGACTAACTAACTAAGACTACGTTTACTTGTTTAATTTACCTTAATTTTGTTGATCCGGTCAATTTATCAAATGAAGTCTTATTGTATTTGTATTACTGTGTAATTTTAAATATCTAGTTTTCTTTATTTATTTCATAATGAAATTAAAAGATACTTCGTATTTAGCAATTAACAATTAACATAACTAAAAAGATGTTCCAGTTGTGAACAAAAGTGGAAGAGTTGAGCATTTTGACAATTTTGCATTTGTTGTGGACTTGTGGGCCCCCCACCCTTCTACTCCTTCTACTCACTTCTGCGAGTAAAGCATAAATACAATCCTTGAAGTTTCGTATAAAAGCCGTTTTAGTCCCTCTTTAACTTTTTTCACCAATTTAGTCCCTCAACCACCCACTTTAGTGTTTTTCAGCCAAAAGTTGAGGGACTTTGCTGACTAAGCAAAAGTTGAGGGACCTTGACTCATCAAAAAAGTTGAGGGATGTTGAGTCACCAAAAAGTTTAGGGACTTTGACATGGCAAAAAGTTGAGGGATTTCAACCCTATTAATATTTCAATCAAAAAAAAGCTAATATTGTTCTTTCCAAAAAAAAAAAAAAAGGTAATATCGAATTTTTTTTTCTGAATTAATAAACTAGCCGTTATCAGAAATGAAGGCTATAAATCTTCGAGTTCCATGAACAAACAGCAGCTCTTGAACATCCAAAAAAAATATTGACCACGAAGAAGCTTGCACTGCATCAAAATCTCAGTCCTAGGTACCTGTGAACATGAATTGTAAATGTTTGTAATTTTTGTACAATGTGTAGAATTTACGAGAAACTAACAATCTGTTAATTAGGTTTACAACCTACTCTGTTTCACAAACACCAAAATCCTAACCATCGACAACAATTTCTACCCACAAAAACCCCAATTTTGATAATCAACCACAATCAACACCAAGCACAAGCAAATACAAGACGATGACAACAAAAAAAAACCAGAAAAAATCACAACAAAAAATTCACCAATAAAAGGAAAAACCCATAATATACTCTGTAAAACACACCATTACAGACAAATTTAAGACGAAAAAGACAAAAACAAAGAATATACCTGCTGGTGATGCAAGCTGGTCCAATTTCGCTTTCTTGGCTGAAGATTCGCAAGCACACTCCCACATTAATGGCGTCGAGGAAGGCGAATTTTTTTTAGCTGAAAATGGAAATGATGATGACAGGGAATCTAGTGAGATGTGGAGTATATAAAAAGGCAGAAACCTTTAGATTTCTCGCGCCAATTGAGAGTAATGATGATTTACGTTTCCCAAAGTACAACTGCTTAATTTTTTAATTTTTTTTGTTCAATTGTAACTGATTTGCAAAACGCAGCGTTTCCCTTATATGCTCATCGATTGGGCCACGTGTCGTCAATCATCTCCTTAAAAAAATGAAGCTTGCAGAAGAAGATTCATGAAAAAAAAAAAATTACAAATTCTGACATCAAGTCCCTAAACTTTTTGGTGACTCAACATCCCTCAACTTTTTTGATGAGTCAAGGTCCCTCAACTTTTGCTTAGTCAGCAAGTCCCTCAACTTTTGGCTGAAAAACACTAAAGTGGGTGGTTGAGGGACTAAATTGGTGAAAAAAGTTAAAGAGGGACTAAAACGGCTTTTATACGAAACTTCAGGGATTGTATTTATGCTTTACTCCACTTCTGCTGTACTCAGAACCAGAATACTTTTTTTTATTTTTTCCTTTTGGATCTACTCGAAAAAATACGTTAGTCTACATGATAAACAAAAAAAAGTATTATTTAATGGCATTTTTGTAAATAAGTCAACAACTTGTAATTAAATACGAATCCACAAATATTGATTTATTTACAAAAATGTCATGCTGATTGGGATATTGTTGATTTATTTACAGAAATGTCATTAAATTTACGATAATTGTTTATCATGAAGATCAACTAGGGCTCCCTCTATAAACTCCTCCACCCCTTTGTTTATCTTATACAGTATACAAATAAATGTCTCACATTTAAAGGTGTTAAAACCTGATCCGACTCGTAATCGACCCGAAAAATATCCGATTCAGAATTTGACTCGCATGCATAAACAAAATAATTTAACATCATTCAAGTTTGAAATTAGACCCGAATCCGATCAGGACATCTGAATTAACTCCTCTACTCACATTGACTAGCGCATTTGTAAGCGCACTTTTTTTTTTTAAATGAGAAAAATTCCATATAAAATTTTGACCAATAATATATTAATTATCAATATACTACTATATGTTATAAAAAGTTAATATTCAAAACAATACTTTGACACAATTATAAAAGTTATCTACATGTTTTTATGTGTGAATAGTGTAAAAGTCAAATTGATATATTTATCCTAACGGTGTGTTTGGATTGAAGGAAATGGAGGGAAAGGAAGGAAGAGAAATGGAGAAATGGGGTATCTTTCATTTGGATAACAAATGAGGAAAGAAGGGGATTGGAGGGGAGAGAAATGGAGGGCTTAAATTGTAGGAAATTGATCCCTCCAACAATGGAGAGATTTGAAAGGAAAACTCACCATTCTTCCCTCCCCTCTTCTCCTCCCTCCCCTTCTTTTCCTTTCCCTTTCTTTATCCAAACACACTGTACGAGTATTACACAATGAATCTATGATCTTTTTACACTTTTTGTGGGCCCTACCCCTTAACCGTTCACCGTTGAACAATAATTTTTCAGTAATTACCAAGGAAATACAAGTTTATAATCTGTCATATTTATCTCCAATGCTTTGATATTTGTGCAAAAATAATTTTTTTAAAAAAAAAAAAAACTAATATTTAAAAACAAATACCAAGGAAAACAACACCTGCCTATATCCGAAAGTGTTTGCAGCAAGAAATTGTGAGCAGGTCCAAACTTGGGGGATGCCAACAGGGAAATACACAATCAGTGTTCATAGTTAGCCAACTTCATCCGGTGAGCTCGTTTCCTTTTCTGTTTTATATCTCTCATTTATTCATCCTTTTCCTATATTCTTCCACGGTCACACATTGAGGGCAATATGTGAACTAAGTTTGGGGGGAGTGGATTCAGTTCTATTTCTTGGTATGGTATTGAGTCTGGTAGTTTGTTTTTGGAAAGTGCTTTGCATATATGATTCAATATCCACTCTCCAATGCTTAATTTTGGCTTATAGACTTGTATGTATGCAGAAAAAAAAAATTGAAAAAAATGATTCTTTAAACCGTTGCTAGCCTGGTGGAAGTCAATGTTGTGGTATTGTAATAAGAAAGAAATGATTTAGGCATTAAGGTATTTGCACCACATAAGCCTAAAAGCTTACCAATAACACGATCCATCAAAACCTAAACTGATTAGCCTATTTTTTTGATTACTTTTATGAGTCATTGTCTAAAAATGAAATTTACCATTCTCTGAGATCAGATTAGTAGAGCATATGCAGTGTGAAGTGGATTATTGTTGTTATAATGATTTGATCTAGTTGAGCCCATATATGTACGTGTGATGTTTATGTGTCTTGATTGAGTAACTCGAGTTAGTAAATCCGTAGGGGTATCTTAAAACCTAGTGCTTTGGGCCAATTGGACCGGGAGTCACTAGTTGAAAGCTCGTTACATGAGTTGCTTGACAGATACATGGCATTAAGAGTCAAAAAAATAATTAAATAAAAAAATCATTAAGATTCAAAGGTTGTGGGATTTTATTCTGTGTACATGATGTTAATTTCCGCTCTACTATTCTTACTCTTTATCATCACACTCATATATACTCTTAAAACCTCACTTTACCTTGGCACCATTTCATCCTTAATTCAAGTCCTAATGATCTTTTGAGTTATTTTGCTACCTTGTTGATGGAAACTAGGTTATGATTGTTTTAAGAGTTGGAATTTGGTTTTGTAAACTCATAAAAAATGATTTTCCTTCAATCTGCATATATACTTGGCTTGAAGTTGTAATTGAGCAAGAGTGGAGTAATTGTAACATGTCAGGTTGCATATTGTTGTATCAAGAGTCTAACTCCTCTGTAATTTCATGTCTTTGCTTGAGGACAAGCAAAATTATAGCTTGGGGGAGTTTGATAGGGTTGTAAAAATATATTATTTATATATATTAAACTCTTGATTTATATTGACAATTAATGATTTAGCTATATATAAGTAATTTTCTTCCTAAGACATGATTTACTACTATTTTATTTATTTGTTTGTAGGAAGGAAGATTACAATATCAAAGTGATATTTTATTATCGCCCGGATTAATCGAAGCAAAGCTCACAAGCCCAATCGACTCACATGTGTCAACCCAATAATATTTCATAGCAAATAGCCAAGTGGACCATGAACTCATGAAGTACACCAACTGGTTACTCAGCCAAAACTGTTGGAACAACAAGTGTGTAGTGTGTGAATTTTGTGAAAAAACTCAAAGTCCCACATTGGTGGGAAATGAGAGTTTTA